ACGGGAATCTATGGTAGAAAGAATCATAATTCTCTAGACCTTTTGCAAATGCAGGCATTCGTATGTGTGTATTTAATAATAGTGGATCCAGCCCTTTGAACCCCTAAGTACAACAGGGGATGTGGAGGCAGGAGATGGAGAGAGTCTAGAAGCTACAACAACGAGACATGCAGCAGTACACCACAGGTAAGTACCAAGGGGCCCTTTGGGCATCAGAAGGGGGTGGGGGCACCAAAGGCACCATTCGGAGTGCTTGAGTGCCTTTGTACTAAAGCTTGGAGCATGGGGAACAAGCAGGAAGTACTCGCACTACCACTTGCAGATAATAACTTTAATTAAGTGGGGCTAATGGAAACCTGGTGGGACCCTACCCATGGCTGGGTGGTACACATTGAGGGCTACAGGTTGTACAGAAGGGACAGAGTAGGGAGGAAAGGGGGAGGGGTTGCTCTCTATGTAAAGGAGCATTATACATCTACCCTAATCAAAATGGGATCAGAGGAGGAGAAAGTTGATTCATAGATGTTAGGGTCGGAAGGGACCTCAATAGATCATCGAGTCCGACCCCCTGCATAGGCAGGAAAGAGGGCTGGGGCTAGGTGGACCCAGGTCCAACCTCCACTTGAAGACCCCCAGGGTAGGGGAGAGCACCACCTCCCTTGGGAGCCCGTTCCAGACCTTGGCCACTCTAACTGTGAAGAAGTTCTTCCTAATGTCCACGCATTATGGGTTAGGATACATGGAGATACATGGAGATTGTGGGGAAAGGGACTTGGTGGGAGGTGGGGGCCTGCTACAGACCACCACATCAAGAGGAAAAAGATAGACTTGCAATTCCTGAGACATCTTTCAGAAACCGTACGGTCTAGGGACGTGGTGTCATGGGGGACCTAAACTACCCCGACGTGCTGGGAGGAGCAGTCAGCCAAATCCAACCATTCGCATAGGTTGTTAACCTGCAGGCAGGACCTTCACCTAATGCAGGAGGTATACGGTCCCACTAGCAGAAATGCCTTACTGGACTTGGTGTTGGCTACAGGGGATGACCTGGTAGGGGAACTGCAGATTCGTGGTCACCTTGGGGACAGTGACCACCAATCAATCGAATTCACCATCTGGCACAGGGTGGGTAAGATAACTAGTAGGGTGGAAGTGCTTGATTTTAGGAAGGCTAACTTCAGTGTGCTCAGGAGTGTAGTCAATGATGCACTGCAGGATAGGAGCACTGGAAGATGGGAGTCCAGGAAGGGTGGTCGTTCCTAAATAAAGGAGGCGATCCTTCAGGCGCAGAGGGAGATGATCCCAGTATGAGGGAAAAGGGGGAAAGGAGCCAAAAAACTTCCTTGGCACAACAGGGAAATCCAGGGGAGCCTAAGGGCAAAAAAGAAGGCATATAGGTGGTAGAAACAGGGGGAAGCTACCAAGGAGGAGTATACCTACTTGGCCCGCACTTGCAGGGAAGCAGTTAGAAAAGCTAAAGCAACTACAAAGCTGAGGCTGGCAACACAAAATAAATACAACAAAAAGCCTTTTTTTTAGGTATGTAGGGAGTAAAAGGAAGATGCAGGGCAGCATAGGACCCCTTCTGAACAAAAAGGAGCAATTAGTGACAGGGAGCAGGGACAAGGCTGAGCTATTCAATGAGTTTTTTGCTTCGGTGTTCCTGAACAGGGGTCAAGATAAGTCTCCTAATGGGCTCTTAGACGGACATCAGAGGGACACCAGCCCACCAACTATCGACGCTGACTTATAGTTTCACAGTTTCATAGTGGGCAGGGTCGGAAGGGACCTGAGCAATTTTTTAACGGGCCCTGCAGGACAGGAAGGTGGGCTCTGCACAGCCCCGCGCAGCCTGTTATGTCCCCTGGCCGTGGGGGATCAGCAGCGCAGGCTGCTTTTCTCTGAGCCATGGGGGCTCGGAGAAACCGGAAGTGCCACAGTGGGTACTTCCGGTTTCACTTCATCTTACAAGCCAGCATGCCGGTTAGTGGAGCATGCCGGCTTGTAAGATGATGGTTAACGGAGCTTTTACTGTAGATGGGTCGGTATTGACCTGGAAGGATGTGGGCAGTGGGTCCCCCAGGGCTCGGTCCTTGGACCTGTACTGTTCAATATCTTCATCAGTGACTTGGATGTGGGTGTGAAGTGTACTCTGTCCAAGTTTGTGGATGATGCTAAATTGTGGGGTGAAGTTCACACCCCGGAGGGTAGGGAACGATTGCAGGCAGACCTGGACAGGTTAGAAAAGTGAGCGGTACACAATAGGATGCAGTACAACAAGGACAAGTGCAGAGTGCTGCTCCTAGGCCATAAAAATATCCAGCACATCTCCTGGCTGGGAAGTGACCCTCTCAGGAGCACAGACGCGGAAAGGGATCTCAGAGTCCTAGTGGACTCCAAGATGAACATGAGTTGTCAGTGTGACGAAATCACCAGCAAAGCTAACCACACTTTATCATGCATCAGCAGATACATGACAAATAGATCCAAGAAGGTGATACTCCCCCTCTATGGAGCATTGCCAGTGAAAGGTTTCATGGCTTTTATCCATGGGCAGTGGATGGGTGTTTGAGGCTGGCATGAGCTATGGGAACAGTGGGACACTGGTACTTCTGTTGGGCGGTTTCTGTCCTTCTCTTACAGCTCTACAAAGCTCCTTATTTGATGAAGAAATTGCTTACTTGGAACCCCCCCCTGCACATTAACAAAGCACTTTGGCAATGTGATTGCAGGCTGTGGACAGAAGCATAGCCTCTGGGGGGCCGTGAGATCCCTTTTAAAGGTGCTGCAGGGTGCTATGCCTTGTTACGGGGTGGATCCTCCATAGCATTCAGCAGAGAAACCCAGAGATTTGTCATAGGAATCCATGGTGTCTGGTGGTAGGGAATGGCCCAGATTCCAGGACTTGAGTCTCCTGTGCCTGGCACTGTCTAGAGACCCTCTGCCGCAGTGAGTTTAAGATTAAAGCAAAAATAAATATAACCATTGGAATGTGCACTCATTTCCTAGCTTTGGCATCTATGAATCTATGAACTTTTCTTGGTTCTCCGAAGCCATCTGTGAATCAGCCAAATGCAGCAGGGCAACAGGTATTCCCACGGTGTGTGTATTTCATCTGGGTGGATCCGGTCCTTCAAACCTTTCTTGGTTCTCCCAAGCCATCTGTGGGGCAGTGAAACGCAGCAGGGCAACAGGAGGGACAGGTGTGGGGGGGCAGGGGGAGGGGATGCTGGCATGAAATGACCAGGAGCTGGGGGCCAAGATGGGGCTGGAGCAGCTGCCAGGGGGGCCCCAGTGGCCAACAAAAGGGACATTAATCACCCAGAGCCATCCAGCTATTTCAGTGTCTTCACATAAGCCCCCTCTGCTCGCTTTCCTTCCAGACTCCCTCCTGACTACATGTGGCTCGGACAGAGTCCTTTCAGAGGGGCTGAGTGCGGGGGTCCCAGCTCCCCGGAGTGGGCCTGAGATTTGCCATGGGCCTCCAGACAGAGGGGAACTTTCCCAGTACGGTAAGACTCTCCCATTCTGATTATTCGCCCCTGCAGACACAGTGAGACAGCAGGCAGCCCAGGGGAACGAAACACACAGGGAGAAGTTAGGATATCCCCTCCCCAAGCCCTATATATAGCATTAGCTTGATCCCAGTGTGAAGGCCTTTAATTCAAAGCGCTGTTGCTTCTTTTTTCAGTCTAAGGCTCTGGGAGCATTGCCAGTGAAAGGTTTCATGGCTTTTATCCATGGGCAGTGGATGGGTGTTTGAGGCTGGCATGAGCTATGGGAACAGTGGGACACTGGTACTTCTGTTGGGCGGTTTCTGTCCTTCTCTTACAGCTCTACAAAGCTCCTTATTTGATGAAGAAATTGCTTACTTGGAACCCCCCCCTGCACATTAACAAAGCACTTTGGCAATGTGATTGCAGGCTGTGGACAGAAGCATAGCCTCTGGGGGGCCGTGAGATCCCTTTTAAAGGTGCTGCAGGGTGCTATGCCTTGTTACGGGGTGGATCCTCCATAGCATTCAGCAGAGAAACCCAGAGATTTGTCATAGGAATCCATGGTGTCTGGTGGTAGGGAATGGCCCAGATTCCAGGACTTGAGTCTCCTGTGCCTGGCACTGTCTAGAGACCCTCTGCCGCAGTGAGTTTAAGATTAAAGCAAAAATAAATATAACTATTGGAATGTGCACTCATTTCCTAGCTTTACACACACACACACACACACACACACACACACACACACACACACACACGTGTGTGCACGCATATGTATGTATGTATGTTAAAAACAACAAGAAGCTAGGCAAAAATAGTCAGAAGCTATTGCGTCTCTTACACACACACCATACAGGCATAAACCAGGCGCACACATACTCAGGCAGGCATTAAGTAAGTACTCACTCACTCACTCACTCACTCACATACACATCTACACACACATCACAGTATAAAGTAGACACAAACACACACATATGCACACTTATACACACAGAGGCAGGCAGAAATAAACCCAGGGTGCTTATGCACGTGTATACCCCCCCACCCCCAGGCATCTGGGTCACAGACTCTCACACTCCCACACACAGAGGCAAAAACCAGGTATGCACACACTCAGGTGGACATAAACTAGGCGCACATGTGCATACATGCATGCACATTCACAGGCATTCATGAACCGCACACAAACATACAGGCATAGAGGCATAAACCAGGCATACACACACATATATATTCAGGCAGGCATCAACCAGACACAAACACATGCACACGCACACACATGAGAACACACACACACATGCACACATACACACACAAGCATAAACTAGACAAACACACACAGACATACACAGAGGCAGGCAGAAATAAACCCCAGGCACATGTGCGCATGCACACCCCCCCCCGCCCGGGGACAGGCATCCTACATCAGCTGCCAGCTCCTACACCAAGGTTGCCATGATTGGACTAAGTTTGGGCTAACAGACACCATGAGTAAAACCAGATTAGCTTTATTCCCTTGCAGCCAGGTGATGGGAGTGGCCAAAAGGCAGCTGCAAGGTTACACAAATCCAGTCTCCCTCCAGTTTGTGTATCTTCATACATACACAATCCAATCAGAAGATAATGCACCGTTAGTTATATCAGTGCATTCCCTAAACCCTTCAACTCAGCATTATGAATGGACCTCGCAAGTCATCTTGTCCAGCCCCCTGCTCAAGACAAAGTCCTCCCTGATGAAAGCCATCCCAACCAAGGGGTTGGCCAGCCTCCTTGTGACACTTCCAGGGATGGAGACTCTACAACTTCTCCAGGCAGCCTGTGCTGGTGCATGACCAGCCTCATAGTCAGAAAGACCCTCCTCATCTCCGACATAAATTTCCCCTGTTGAAGCTTGAGGCTGTTTCTTAGTCCTGTCCTGTCCAGCCACAGGGAAAAGCCCATCTCCATCCTCTCCATAATCACCTTTCAGGAAGTTGAGGATGCTACCAAAAATCTCCTCAGTCTTCTCTTCTCCAGACAAAATGACCCTAGTTCTTTGAGCCTTTCCTTAATCAAAGTCATACTTCCCAGGCTTCTGATCATTTGTGATGCTCTCCACTGGACTCTTTCCAATCTGTTCTTGAAGTATGGGGCCCAAAGCTGGACACAGGACTCTGTAGAAGAAAAATACAGGCTTATTATAGCTATTTGACATGAGTAGCATACTCCCAGAATCCTCTGGATGAACCCTAGATTGGCTCAGATAGCTGCTGTGCAGTTTTGCACTTAGACCTGGAAATTTAGCAGAACAAAAAGATAGTAAAAAAACAAAAGTTGGGTCAGAAAGTCCCAGTAAAAGGAAAACAAGAAGAAACCAGCCTTGGGAAATAAAAAACAGCCAAGCTTGTGGTGTCTAGGGTGGCGACTGCAGCTGTAAATATTGCTTAAAAAATAAAATAAAGGCAAAGACCATACAATGAAAATACAATAAAAGAGATACTTATAACATCTGTACACTTTGCTTAAGCTGGCAATAAAAAAGTATTTCCCTATTGGACCTCCCTATTGGCCAGGACAAGATCCAAGATAGAGGATCCCCTAGTTGTACCCTCAGCCTTCTGGACCAGGAGGTTGGCCTGCATACAAGTTAAGTACCGGTTCAATATTTTACGTTTGGCTGCACTGTTCTTCCAGCAGATGTTCACAAACTGGAAGTCTCCCATCAGTACCACCCCATAACTTTTGGATAGGTGTCTCCTCCTTGAAGACTGCCTCATCCAGCTCCTCTTTCTGATTCGGTGGCCTATAATAAATGCCCCACCCCCATTATATCTGGGCTGCATCATTCACCTTTCATCTTCACCCAAATGCATTCTGTTTTGCTGTCTTCTTCCTCCTGAACCAGGGAACAAGTGCATGTTTCTGACATACAAGGCAACAATCCCACCTGTTCTCCCACCCCATCCTTCCAAAACAGCCCATCGGGATAGCCACGCTAGCCAAAGGAATTGGCAGCATCACATGGCAAACCCTGACACATGATGACAAAGGACAGCATCTGTGGCACAAAGGATGCTATGCAACGTGAACAGCACATGCCCCCGGCAGCTGGGGGAGCACAGCAGCGGCAGGAGCGTGGTGGCGGCAGCGGGAGTGTGGCAGCAGTAAGCGGGCGAGCTCCTGCAGACACTGCTGGCACTGTTGGGGACTGAGGGTTGGTGACCACCTGCAGCTGCTGCTGGCAACGTTGGCAGTGGGCAGTGGGTATCATGAACCATCCGCAGAGGCCGCTGGCAGTGTTGGCAGTAGGGTGGTGAGTGGTGACCACCTGCAGGTGCCACCAACAGTGTCAGTAGTGCCTTTTTGTAGGGGGTGCAGCACCATGCTCAGGGGGTGCACATGCATCCGTGTGCACCCACTACGTGTCACCCCTGCTATGCAATGTGCCAGAGGTGGAAGGAGGAGAGACAAGAGCCCTGTCACTGCCCTACCCCTGCTGTCACAGCCAAGCAGCTGTTCCACAGACACTCAGGATCCCTGGAACGGCCCCTGCACCAGGGCAGTCAGACCTGGGGAGAGAGCCCCTGCTTGACCTCAGGTGTAATGATTGGTCTGACCCTGAGAGGAAGAGCAAGGCCCTCCAGCTGGAAACCGTGGGGTTTTCTGGCACCTAAGGAGCATGAGCATGTGCCAGACAAACACTTCCAAAGGCTGACACCTCAGAGAAAGGCAAACAAGCACATTCAGAGCTCCCAGATCATTAAGCATCTCCCTGTGATGGGCAAGGAAGCCATCACCCTAAAGTGGAGCAGTCATGTACTCAGGGAGTTCAAAGGTTCAAGAGTTCAAGGATAGCTTATTGCATTGCAGTTTTTGCTGACCTACTTTTGTAACCCCCGCTTGTGGAAAAGTACCAGGTTTAGTGGAAAATGTGCAGATGTGGGTTTGGTGTTACCTTATATGGAAATGTTGTTTACCGCTGATGCCTTGCCTTTTTGTAAAGAGTATAAAAGAACGCCCCGCCTTTTAGTTGGGGCCATTTTGCCTCCTTGTTGGCTTATGGTCTTTGCTGGAGCAAATAAACTGCAGGAAGCCTTTACCCGTGTTGCCTGGTTCCTTTGCGGCTAGACAACGAACTTCAGGGAGTTTTCTCCCACAACAATTTAGCGACCCAGGTGGGACCCATCTAGCTTGGAGCCTTTGGAGACCTCCACCCCTCGACACCCCAGCGCGCACCAGGTGAGTTCACCTATTTGGGTCAGTCTCGGGAGGTGGATGGTCCCCTTGGGACCAATAAGGTGGGATCCTCAAATCGGGTAAAGGAACGGTACCGGGATGTACCTCAGGTCAGTATATTTCTGGTTTTCTGGTTATTCCTCTAGAGGATTTTTGTAGCAGTCTAAGGGTATCCGTCTGCTTCTTAAAAGCTGATAGAGTGGCAGCCTGGCTGAAAGGCGAAAGACACGGATATGAGGTAGAAGTACTGTCATAACGGCCAGCGACTAGGGTCTCAGACTCAAGACGCCCCTCCTCACGGAGAAAGCCAGTAGGGTCCAAGAATACCAGCTGTTGTACGTATACGAGACAGTCTTTAGGCAGATAGAATTCAGGAAATAAGACTGCTTATAACTGAATATTAACATGGGTTCCGGTCAAGGAAAGGTTATTCCTGATTCTCCCCTTGATTATATGATTAAAAATTGGACACATCTGGAGGGTCGGGCAGGGTTATCCAAGACCCATATGGCAAAACTTTGTTTAACTAACTGGACATTGTATACGTCCCAGCTGGATTCGGGAAGACAATGGCCAGAAAACGGATCATTTGACCCGACTCGTTTAACTGCCTTGCGAAAAAACTTGGAGAACCTCCGGCCCGGTCAAATGGACTATTGGTTTCTGTGGGACAATGCTGCTACCAAACGATCTAAACAAATGTCCCTTATTACCTCCCCGCTTTTAGCTCCTCTACAATGTTCCAAACCCTCTGCTCCGCCCTCTTATTCAGAAGATGACTATAGGCCTATGTCCCGACCTCCCAGCCCTGCCCCAGAAAAAACTTGGAGAACCTCCGGCCCGGTCAAATGGACTATTGGTTTCTGTGGGACAATGCTGCTACCAAACGATCTAAACAAATGTCCCTTATTACCTCCCCGCTTTTAGCTCCTCTACAATGTTCCAAACCCTCTGCTCCGCCCTCTTATTCAGAAGATGACTATAGGCCTATGTCCCGACCTCCCAGCCCTGCCCCACCGTTAATCCCACCTGATCTGTTCATTCCTGCGCTGGCAGGGGACTCGGGAAATCATGGGGAGGCGCCACCCTGACCGCCTCCTGGCGACCGCCCAAGTCCTGAGCCTGTAGAGGGATCAAGGCATCCCTCTCTGGACTCAACCTCCCCGAACACTGATTTAACTCCCATAGCTAATCGTACCCGACAACGAGTACCTAACCCTAGCCTTCTGGCTCCCCTAAGAGAGTACCCAGTACCTGGTGATAATGGCCAAGTTATCAGTCACTGGACACATACTCCGTTCACCACCACTGACCTCTTAAATTGGCAAGGAAATACTCCCAGACTTAGAGACGATCCAGAAATAGTCCTAAGGCGTTTTAAAACTATCTTCATGACCCATCATCCCTCGTGGTCAGACAACATGCAACTTCTCGAAAGCCTCTTAACCTCAGACGAGAAAACCCAAGTACTGCGCCATGCTGACCAATTTCTAGCTGATCAACAGCATCAAAACCACCCCTTGCCTAATGGTGTACCTAGGCAAGTACCAAATTGGAATTACAACAAGGAAGAAGGGAAAAATGCAATACGAATGCTAAAGGAAAGTATCTTAGAAGGACTAAAAAAGGCAGGAGATAAAACTGCAAATTGGTCCAAGGTGACAGGTGTTGTTCAGGGTCCAGAAGAACACCCTTCAGACTACTTTGAAAGACTCTGTAAAACTATGTGCCAACATGGAAACATGGACCCCGAGTCACCTGCCACTTTGCCTGTGTTAAGACTTGTATTTATAAGTCAGGCAAGCGAAGATATTAGAAAGAAACTCCAACATAACAC